AACGAGACCAAAAATTTAAAGCTAGTTCAAATAAAAATATTTTGAACTTGAACCGGACGAAATTTAATTGATTTGGGATAAAACTGGATCCGAAAAAGGTGAACGTGTGGCGCAACGAGCACCAAGTGTTCCAAGGAGTATAAATAGGGGAGAAAATCAGATTCTCTCCCCATTTTTCAACTAGGTTTTACCTTGAAAGAGGAGGAGAGGGAAAGGAGAAGAAAAATTAAGATCTTCAACTTCTCACGCTACGATATATGGCCCTACATTTATCAAATCGATTCGGGCCAAGAATTAAAGTTCATCTATGCGACGATGGCTACGCCTATGTACCAAAAAACACGAATTTTGACGAAGTTCAAGAAACAAAATTTTGAAAAACCAAGGGTTAGAGCTTGATTTGGGTTCCTGAAGGCTTCTACCGCTTGTTTTATGATTCAAGGGGTATGATTCTTTTCCTAATTAGGTTTATTTCCAACCTATGATTGATATAAGGAATGGTTTGGGTGTTAGAGATGTAATCTCATGTATAACACATACCTATGGTATTTGAAATGTGGAAAATGGGTGTTAAGAATGGTTAAAATCAATTCTATTATGAATTGAGTATTTAGAAATTACTTGTTTGTGATTTCTTGAGATATGTGATGAAATTGGGTGTATTATGTGTTCCATGATTTTATTGCCTTGAAGATATTTGATTAAATGCCTATGTTGATTAAATGTGTTATTAGCATTGATTTTGTTATAACATGCTTGGGCGTTGAAGTTGGTATATGCACATGATATATTGACATTAAGGTTAATAATGGTAGTTATATGCTTATGATATAATTTATCAGGAAAAATGTTGTTAGATATTGAATTGTTCATAATGTGCTCATGACATATTGAACATGATTGAGAATTGTAATTGTACATTTATACTTCATATGCATAGGTAACATCACATTTGTGGGCATTTGACATGAGTGTGGGTGTGTGTGCATGTTTTTGAATCAAACACCATTCTTGGTTGTTAAGGAGTGGACTCGGGGAAGTTGTACATAGGTCTGACTGAATTGTATGGTTGCATGAAAAACTTGTGTCAGATATAACAAGAAGGGCTAGATACTCCCTCGGGAGCAATACCCGGTTACTGGTATATACACTTCCGCCAATGCAAGTCCAAAAAAGTGTAACGGTGTACAAAACTGGTGGTGAGATTCCAAAATTCGAATACCCAACAAAGACACATGGTTTGTTTTTAAAAAGATCATTGAATTTGTAACATCAATGACGAAGGTTTGGAATGCCCGGATTCATACACATGGCATTACATGGGTTATGGGAGCCGGTAAAAGCTTAGGTTGAGTTGCATGTGTGAGTCTCATCTCATATAATGACATGACATAGAGGATTCCATTGTTGAATTGCATATAATGGAGTAATTATTGTTTGTGATTTGCATGNCTGACAATTCTTTGGTTTATACTAGCAAGAAACCATATATCCTTAGTATTATTATTATTTTTTTAAAAAACTATTCCAATCATGATCTCAATTTCTATATAGGTTATCCAACTTAATTCTAGCAACGTTCTTATGCACAAGGTCCGTGTTACCATATAACCTGAAATGAGTCAGATGTACAATACTCATCACCTATGTGAAGAGACTATTTCCAATGACTCATAACATGTTTATATATCACACCTTTAACATTCCTTTAATTTTCTCAACCCAATCAATTTGATATAGTGAAAAATGTGTTANTTTTTTAGGAGATACCCTATTGAGCGTAGATCACCCTTTATGGGAACAACATTTCAGGTACGAAACATGCGCTGGTGGACGGCTCTCATTCGGGCCCTCATTGATGAAGAAAACCAAAAAAAGTGGCTTTTAAGTCATATTTTGTAAATCTAATATGTTATTTAGGTTTTGGGCGTGTAATGTAATGTAAAGGGATTGTAATCAAACTCATATGAACTGTATTTATTTAAAATTGATGTTATATGAGTTTGGGCTGATGTTGTATAACGTTGAAATGGGTTGGAATTGGAAAAAGAATGGAATTGGGGGAAAACTAGGAAAATCTACTGGTAAAATGACGAGTTCTTCTACCGGTAGAATATTTTTAGTAGGTTTTTTCTATCTGTAGAATGTCAAGTTTGGCAGTAGAACATTTCTAGTGAGTTTTCCTACCAATAGAACACTGATAAACCTACTGGTAGAACATTTCCAGTAGGCTCTTTCTACTGGTAGAAATGTATATCTACTACTGGTAGGTTTTCTTCAAATTTTAAAATTTAAAATGTTTTTCCTATGCTTCTAGGCCTTGAGTCCTTTTACTTTTAGGGGAAAAATGTTGTTATGTTAAGAGTAAATTAATATACATTAGACCTTGGATGGATCATGTGATTGAAATGTGCATAAGTTATGCATTTAGAGAATGCCCGGTATAAAGGAGACTGTCCAAATTTTGTGTTGTATAAGATGCTGGTAAAGGGGATGTTGTACCCTGGTGTCGGGTTATGCGGCATTCACGGTTATTTATGCGGGTTGATGTGTGATCAACGGGTTGACAATGGATGCCCAGTTTTAGGGGCGTCACATTAAGCCACTCGCCCATTATGCCCAACGAGGCCTAATGAAGCCTTTAAAGCTCAGTGTAACTCTTGGCCCCGGGCATTAAATAAAAGTGGTAATCTTCCTTCAGGTGAGCCTTGTTGACTTTAGTGAAGGCGATGCAGGCATGGCACTTTCCATTTTTTTTCACATACGATATTGGATAACCATTTAGGGAAATGAACTTCGATTCCACTATCGGGTCTATTTCTTCATTAATTTCTTGTGCATGTTAGGNAAACACCTAAGTCACAAACTTAATCTTATAAATAACTCATCTTTGTTATTTCTAATTATCTGTCTCTCGTGAATAAGCAAGATTGGATAATGAGATCAAACAACGATTTTCGATGGGACAAAGAGGCAGTTTTGTAAGATTGCATGCCAACTTAGTTTTGTCAAGATCTATTAGCTCAATCAATTAGCAAAATTACTATCCAATTCTATTAATTTGAACCCAAAATTTAATTTATTTGCTTTAAACATACCAATGATGGTNGTCAGATCCACATGAAGTTGGGGGTAGATGGTCTCAGGGTTTATTCCCCAGATCTCGTAAGGGGTCTATGCAAAGACATCAGCGTTATGTCGAAAAAAATCCAACATCTGGCCCTACTCTACTGCAATTAATGAAGACCTAATCTAAAAAATCTTTCCTTATCACCTAGGTAGGGGTAAACTATGGTTAAATATCAGCCAACTCTACTTAGGGTTCATTGTTATCAAGACGATCAACCTTTGATTCTTATTCGACCAAGATGATCTCCTGGTACTACTCCTTTGCCTTAGCAACAATCCCTATATTGGTGGCTGCATAAAAGCAAGTGTACGAGGTTGTCTGGTCGCCACACATCTCCATGATTCCATGAGGGGTGGCAATTTCAACTTATGGTGGTAGGAAGAGTGAACTGCCTTTATGTTATCGAGTTAAGTTCTCCCCATGAAGGCATTGTAAGGGAAGTCATAATCAATCATGACGAATTTGATTTGTAGGGTAACAATTCCGATTGTGATTGAGAGGCAGATCTTGCTGAGGGGACAGGGCATTAAACCTATTGAACCCAACGAGAGGGGTCCTTATGGGTTTCAGATCCTTGGGACCGAATCCCATTTTCAAAAAAAGGTCCTGGTACATCAAATCGGAAGAGCTCCCTAAGTCTATAAGAATGATTTTGGCATTGAATCTCTCCATTCTCAAGGTGATGATCAGAACATCCTCATGGGGGAGTATGACCCCCCCTGCTAGGTTGGTGTTAGTGACTATGATAGACTCGACACTATTTTGACTCTTCATGGAGGGTTGATCTTTTGTCTTGTCCCTTTTGACCTTCTCAGCCTAGGCAACCTTCTGAAGGTCGAACCTCTTGGAATTACAAGTTGGCCATTCTTGGGGACAGGCATGGATAACTTCGAATGATAGTGGTTGCCTCATTGGCGATGATATCTGAGTGTTTTTCACTATCTCATGTCTTCTCGTCATCTATGAACTTACCGAGGTGACCTTCAGTTACTAGTTTTTAAGGAAGGCATTGTATACTCAGCAATCCTCGATAGTGGCACAAACATCAGACGAAGAAGTTATTGGTAAATGGGTCCTGTTGCATCTTTAGTGGCCATTTGAAGAAAGGTACCTTTTTAATCTGATGGAGCATCTTATAGATGGGCTCCTTGAAGACCATGTGGTCTTCACTAAAGACAACTTGACCAAGGCATGGGAGGAATTTCACTTTTTACTTGGTTGTTCCTTCTCCTTCTTCCTGTGGTTGACCCTTTCGTAGGGTTCCAACCATATCATCCTCGACCTCGGCGTATTTATCTATCTGAGCCCATTAGGTCCCTCATACTAGCCAAGGTCTTTTTTTTCAAAGGAATAATAGAGATATATTTCTCGGGCCAACCTAAGTCGAGAAGAGGTGGCTTCCATCACCTCCGAGCAGCCTTTCACCTCATTAACCTTTTTTCAATATCTGGTGGAATATTGCCTTAATGTTTTTCCTTCTCTTATTCTTAAATTTAAGAAAGTGTCGACGTTCTTTGGTTGCCTGCTACTAGTGATGAACTAAACTATGAACTGCTCAGTCATATGTTTCCATAACCTGATACTCTTTGGAGGAAAATTCTCATACCATTTCATAGCAGTGTCCTTGAGACTCATCAGGAAGACCTTGTATTGGCATAGATGCCCTTCAGGGTCCGTCCTCCCATCGTAAACTTTAAACTAGGGAACTACAAACTTCCTCTATATCTCTGTCTTTATGATGCTCCAAACGAACAACGACCTGATATGTTCAACCTCCTCGGGTTCATCTGTATATCCTCCAACTTCACGTGGGTCATGTCTCCAAGAATATAGATGGACCACAAGTCCATGTCGTGCCTGTCATACTACTTCAAGAAACTGATAGTGGCCCTTTATACATGATCTTTTTGGATTCTCTGATCCTTGACAAAGAAAGTGGAACCCTCAGAATCCCCTTTTTCAAGGTACTATGATAGTCGATGTCGCAGGTCGCCTTCCATACAGGGTCTGTCTCATTTCTCCCCTTTGTCGGGGTTACTCCCTTGAGGGTGTCCTTGTTTGGAGATGTGAGATGCTCATGCCTTCTAGCCCACGCAGTGGTGTAGGTCAGCTGGGGGCAAATCTCCTTGTTAGTGCCTCCTCACCTTGTCCCGCATGGAGTAAGTCACACCATCAATGCCTAGTGTTGTTTTGTCCACGTGTCTACGTTCATTAGTTTGTTAGAGCACATCCCATCACTCACACCTTCAACTTTTTCAAAATACCACAATTACAAACTAATGTAGTTTTGCCTCCTAAATTAAATTCCTAGCTCCATTTCATATTACAATGA